ATTTTACGTTTACTTCGTTTGGTGTTAAGTATGACAAAGAATTGTGTAAGAATAATAAACGTATATATACGTTCAGAGTCCAAGGACAAGTATATCATTTTATAAATCCACTTGTGCCAAAGAATGAGAATCCAACGTATTTACATTTATACTTCTATGATACTGAAAATGATATTTGTAATAGACTGAATACTTCTGATAAATTTTGTGAGTTTACTTTAAGAAAATTGATAAATGTTCTTAACAAAAATCCCTATTCAAAGTTTTTCCGATCATTAAGTAAAGTTAGTGACTTATAATCATGTTGTATTTTACTAAAGTCTAATCCTGGTGTTGATCAAAGAATTTATAACTTGCCAACATCAGAACAAGTGGCTGTAGTTTGGGTTGATGATGACCCATCTACAAATACTAGAGGTCGGGACTTATTAATGGACATTCAGGTAATGCATATAAAGTTCAATACTATTATGATTGTTATGATCCTCTCCAATATCCACTACTGTTCTCGTTTGGAGAACCTGGATAGCATGAAGGTATTGAAAAGGTGAATCTAAGTGTTTCACAAGCTCTGATTTGTTACAATTTAATAGAAGTTAATCATGTCCATTCTGTGGATCAATTATTGGAAGTAGAAGACTATAGTAAACGATTTTAGTATTTCTATTTTTTAAACTAATTTATTTATGTTATTAATTGCATTTAGTGAATAAATTTTTTGTTGATATATTCTTTTCTTTCTTGCAGTTTTGAAGGCAAAGAAAAAACGAATAACTGTATCATGTTGGGAGTATTATTGTTACAAGCTTCAAATCAGGTATGTAAATAATTGTATTCTTTTACATGCGGTTGACATTTACAGCAATATGTTGTGGATATGTGTGTGAAAATTGAAACGGTAAGATTAGACTACTTTCGTAATTACCAAAAGGTTATAAGAGCTGAACTAGATTAGTGAATTGTAGATAGTGTACAAAATAGTGAGAACAGAGGTTATAAAATTGGTAGATCATTAGTGTTGCCTTTTGGTTTTGTTGGGGGTCCTAAGAACATGATTAAAAGATATATGGATGCAATGTCTTTAGTTTAGAGATATAGTAAACCTGATGTATTTTTGACAATGACATGTAATTCAAATTGGTCCTGAAATAAAATGTGAATTGAAACACAGTGATGAAATACCAAATAGGCCAGATTTGTTAGTTCGAATATTTCATGCCAAGTTTGAGGAACTGAAGAGGAATTTGGTTAAAAGAAAGTTGTTGGATCATATTGCTGCATATGTTTATGTGATTGAATTTCAGAAAATGAGATTATCTCACGCTCATTTTCTCTTTATATTTAAACGAAATTATATGATTCGAAACTTTGTACAAGTCAATGAAATTGTCTCAGCAGAAATACCGGACAAAAAGATACCCTTACCTACATGCTACTGTTGTAAAACATATGATGCATGGTCCTTGTGGGAATTTTAATCCTAAGAATTTTTGTATGAAAAAGAATTTTGTATGTAAAAATAAATATTCGAGAGATTACATTGAAAATACTTCTTTGGATAATAATTCCTACCCACTTTACAAGCTCACAATGATAGTGTAAGTGTTAAAGTAAAAGGGTGTATATTGTATAATAGATGGGTTGTACCGTATAATCCTTACATTTTAGCTAATTATGATTGTCACATTAATGTGGAGATATGTTCTTCTGTTAAAACTGTTAAATATCTATACAAGTATGTATATAAGGGACATGACCGTATTCATTTTCCTTTAAATAAAGAAACAAACGAACAATTCGTTGATGAGATTTTAAACTACCAAACAGTTAGATGGTTCCACCTGAAGCCATGTGGAGGATATTTAGTTTTGATTTATTCGATTTATCTCCCACAGTAATTTCTTTACAGTTACATACTAAAGATGCTCAAACAGTTACATACAAGGAGACAAATGATTTATCAAAGGTTATAAATAAGAATTTTGTTCACCGAACAATGTTAATAGAATTCTTTAGAATGAATATTTCAAATGAAAAGGCAAAAACTCTACTGTATAAAAAATTTTCAACCTATTTCGTATGGGATACATCAATGCGAATTTGGAGTCCTAGAAAAAGTAAAGATGTTATTGGTAGTATAGTCAGTGCTAATCCATGTGAAGGTGAGAGGTGTTCTTAAGAGATTTGCTAAATCATATTAGAGAGCCAAAATCTTTTGAAGATTTAAAAACAGTCAATGATATTGTTTTATCTACTTATTGTGAAGCAGTACTTTCCCATGGTCTTCTTAGTGGAAATAGCTATTCTGAGATGTGTTTATTTGAGACAGTTGCTTACCAAATGCCCATATTACTGTGGCGACTATTTACCAATGTATTGAGTTTATCTTGCCCTACAAATCCAAGGAATTTATGGGATAAATTTAATTATTCATGATAGAAGATTATTTACATAAAGGTTTCACACAACAAAGTACTGAGATGAAAGCTTTACAATGTATAAATTCTTTCTTAGAAGGTGTTTGTAAGAATTTAATTGATTTTTGCTTGTTAGATTTTGATTTAACTGTGAATGATGATGATATATTTGAAACCATGATTGTCGAAGAAACAACCAATATTAATTTTGAGTCAGACATACATTATAGTAAGAGTTTAAATAAAGAGCAACAAAATGCGTATGATATTATTTCGAATTGTGTTTTAAATGATAAGAATGGAATGTTTTTTATTGATGACCCAGAAGGCACTGGAAAAATATATTTGTACAAGGCATTATTTTTTGGTGTACGATCTCGAAAACTTATCGCACTAGTCTATTATAAACTGGTAGAATAGGACATTCAAGATTTAAAATTTCGTTTGAAGTAAGTTGATATGCGCTGCTCAATGAGTAAGCAGTTCGCTCTTGGTAAACTTTTAGCATTGGCTAGGCTAATAATTTGGGATGAAACACCAATGGTTCATAAATATGCTTTTGAGGCTTTAGATAAAATGTCAAGAGACATTGCTGAATGTCAATTACCATTTGGTGGAAAAGTTATTGTGTGTGGAGGAGATTTTCGACAAATTTTACCAGTAGTACAAAGAGGAATAAAAGACTATATAATAAAGGCAAGTTTAGTTTTTTCGCATTTATGGCGTTCTTTTACACGGCTAGCATTAATCAAAAATATGATTGCTACATTAGATCATTCATTCAGTGAATATTTGCCAAAGACTAGGAATGGAATAGAGAGAATACATTCATGCCAAATGATTACGCTTCCTGAGGATATTACCATCAATTTCGAAGATGGATTTAAATCATTGAAGGAATTAATTGACAATGCGTTTCCCAATTTTCAGACATATGGAGACAACCTACATATTATGATGAATATAATTATTTTAACCCAAAAATTAATATGTATATTTAATAAACAATAGGTTGCTTAAAGAAATTCCGGGAGAGAAAGTTACATATTTTAGTTTTGATGAAGGATTTATTGATGAATATTTTTTGAGTAGTCTAACTCCAAACAGTATACCTCCACAAGAACTCATATTGAAAAAAAATTGTCCAGTTATGTTGCTCAAAAATATTAATCCTGCAGAAGGTTTATGCAATGAGACTAGACTTATTTGTCGTGACTTTACCATTTAAAAGAACTCAATTTTTAATTCGTCCATGTTTTGCAATGATAACAAATCTCAAGGTCAAACTCTAGATTTTGTTGGCTTACATCTTCCTAAACCTGTATTTTCCCATGACCAATTGTATGTTGCATTGTCCCGAGCTAGAACAAAAGAAAGTATAAAAGTTCTTATCAAACCTTTTGTCAAAAACAAATTACATACTTGTTGTACCAAAAATATTGTCTATTATGAAATCTTGAATTTAGTTCATGATAAATATTAGAATCTTCAGCTAATGAAGATTTCTAAGGTATATTCTTAATTGTTTATTATAATTCTTTATTGATTATATTTGTTATTACAGACATAAATTTAATAATAAACCTATACTTATGACTTCTGATTATCATGATGAAATATTGATTTTTCAAAATGGTATCTTTGCAAAAACGGTTTCTAAAATTATTCTTTCCAAAAATATATTAATTAGTCGTCATGCTTTATATTTTCTAAATATAAGTATTAATCACACATAACTTTTTGAATTGTCTTACTTTTTTCTGTTTACTAATGGTCATTTGTTATTCATATTAGGCTGTGTAGCTGTCAGATGTTGCGTGGTTAATATGAATATAATTGGTAAAGCTGATATTTAGAAGTTTAGATAGAAATGGAGGAAACATTTCTAGAAAACACTTTTGTAAGTTTTTTAACTTGACTTAATCATTTTACCATCCCATGTAAATATATTCCTACAGCAAGTGATATTATTACAAAACACACAGGTTCATTCTACTTGAAAACATCTTCTTGAAGGTGAATCCATCATATAACATATTAGTGTATATATATATGTGTGTGTGTGTGTTGATGTAACCATATATGTATTAATATATAAGAGAATGTTATGTTTTAATTAGAAATATTGTAGTATTTTTGAATTGTAAAGAAAGGAAAAAGTGTAATTTCTATGAAAATCTTTATGCGATAATTTAAGATAATTAACGAAAAAGTGAAATGGATAAATATAAATATTAAACATTATTGGTGTGAAAAGTTTCATAGACGAGTTCCATCATTGTGATTTTTTTTGTAAACCATGAACATTGGAGATTTGCTATTTGATAATTCAAATACGCATGTATCTCTGATTTTTAGTTCCTTCTCTGTCAAAAAATTGGCCCAACCTTCAATAAGACAGCATATCACACCGTTTGGTCTTGAATTTGTAGTGATATCCTAGTTGTAATGTAGAGAGTTATGGAGCCGAACATTCTGCACATATCTTGGTAAATGGTGTCTTGCAAACCTTCATGGAATAGACTTTGAAAAAATATAGATGCTACTGTTAAGATTAAAATTATGTGAATATAGAATGATATATTAAAGATAGCCTGCAATTTCTCTATGGTTGTTCTGATTGAGCGTCAGTGTTATTTCGAATACAGGATTATCCAGATATAAAGCCTCGTCTTCTTCAATATCAGAGTCATATGTAACCTCTGATCTAGAATGATCAAATATTCTCATATTGAATGTTGAATTTCCATTATATCCAAATACTACAACAAAAACATCCTGTAAGTTATGATGGTCAAAAAATTGCTCCCATCCATTAGTGAAATATATTTCTCCATCAATTGTTTGTAACTGTATCGTTACAATTATACCATCATACGAAGTTAATCGTACTCTATCACCTAATTCTTGTCTCCAGCAATTGACAAAAGATGTAGGAAACATCTACATATATGAAAAAACATAGGCAGTAAATAAAACATTCATACAAATATGAAATGAAAGAAGACATTATTATATAACTTACCAAACGGATGTTATGATTTAGTGAACCATCGATAATTTTGAAGAAGATATGTGGCACATTCATTTTTGTGTTGAAAAACTGGAGTATGTATGATTTTTAACACAATTAAAGATTGAAAATTATATATCATTTAAAACTATAAATTTATTTGAAACAATTGTAGTAAAAGAATCAAGAAAGAAACACTAGATTAAACCTAATTTTTTTAAGGAAAGCTTGATAGGTAAAGGTAAAGATATGTAAATTGGTTAAGTATGAAGAAATGGTATGAGAAGCTATTTAAACTAAACAATACTTGTCCTTTTTTTTAGAGAAGATTTGACAACAGCTTTACGGGATAGAAATAGACAAAGTAAGAAATGGACAAAATACTCTTCCCGGGATTATTTTTTAGATACATCTGCTAGATTTGGTTAAAAATGAATTTTATTACTAAGATGTAAAGTACTAAATGGTGGATTGAAAAAAAAAAAGGACTAATGAAATTAAGAAAAGAATAGTTTAGTTATACAATAAAACTGTCTAATTGGTTTGATATGGTCTAATGCCAGTTATTCCCATCTCTACCTTAGCATAGTCAGAATGTGGATAGACAGTACGGAGCAAGAAAACGGCGTTTCAATTGTTTGTTTACTGACAAAGTAAACAATTAATAATTAATAATTTAAATCGCAAAAAAAAAGCAAATGCTTCGTACAGTGCGGAGCACTAGCTAGAATGCTCCACACTGTGCGAAACAATTTTGATAAGGTTAAGTGTGGAGGAACTTTGCTATGATAAAGACTGCAAAAAAAATAAAATTTGGCTAATATATCATTCAAATTATTTGATTACTCAGTAAAACAGTTATTAAACAATTAATAATTAATAATTTAGTAAATAAAAATTTAAATCAAAACAAAAAGGGAGAAAAAAGGAAGGAAATACTCCGTACAGTGCGAAGCACTAATTAGAATTGCTCCGCACAGGCGTACGGAGCCACTCTGCACAAGCGTGTGGAGCAAAAAAAAATTTCCTTTTCTTTTAGATTTTTTTTTCCTTTTGTTTTCTTTTGGATTGAAATTATTATTTATTATTAATTATTTATGTCATGAGCTATTTGTCATACCTCTACCTCTGTATTTTACACCTTCACTAGCTATACATTTTTTTTTTTTGGCATACTACTGGTGGTAAAATAATATATTCCCATACATTACTATGTAGTTATATACTTGCAAATTTCATCCAGACTAAATATTATACTCTGGAATGTACTTATATATAACTTGTCATACTTCACCTATTTTATCTATTTTTTCTAACTTTAAACCATTTCATTTCCCTTGCACACAAGAGTGATTTTTTTTCCCTTTTAATACTCCAAACAGTGCGAAGCAATTTCAGCAAGTCCTTTATACAATTGCAGAGCAATTTTTGTTCCCTTTTCTTTTGGAAATTTTTTTCCCTTTTGTTTGTTGATTGAAATTATTGTTTACTAAATAATTAATTATTATTAATTGTTTACTGTCGTGAATTGCTTGTCATACCTTCACCATACTGGTATACATATCTATATCTTTTTCGTTATCCCATACCTTACATATTTTACTGTACCAAACTAATACATTCCCATACATTACTCTATATTTATATACTTACATATTTCATCATATACAGACTAATCTATTTCCATACATTATATTCTAGAATGTACTTTTGTATAATTACTTGATAAAAATTTCAGGTTAATCAATCAACTGATTTATTTGGCCGTACTTCATCGATTTTATCTAAAAAAATTTAAAACTTTAACAAATTATACTATATCTATTTAAACCATTTCATTTCCCTTCTGAGATTACCATCCTTACAAATCTTCTTCTCTAGTCCGATTGCATTTGACATATTATTTATTTTAGATTTAGATAACATGGAAAAAGAGTACAAATTCATACCAGAAATTGTCTCAAACAACGAGAAGTGGAAAGCCAAGGTCATTGTTGTCGAAAAACAATCACCAAAACCTTCTAAAAAAGACAATGGAAGAAATCAACATCTGGATGTTGATGGATACTCATGTACCTCTTCTCATTGTTAGTTATAAAAGTTGGCTTCAACTTCAAAATTAAAACTATTAAGACTTCTCATTCATATATAATCAGATAACTAAGAAATTTCTCATCATGTTTCATTTTCATTTTCCAGGGAAATACTATCCAAGCTACCTTATATGATTCCAATATCAGTGCTTTTGAGGATCAACTTGTTTTGGGGAAAACATATACTATTTCAAAAGCTTATGTGAAGAATAATACGGAAAACTACAAATATTCGATGTGATCTTATCACTGGACTATATTTGGACAAACGCGTATTGTTGAACTAAATGAAAATAATCTGGAATTTATTTTTTTAACATATCAATTGACAGCTTTTTATGAAACAGAAGAGTATATAGATACAGATGCTGATATAAGTAAGAAATGCATTTTTTTTGTTATTCCATGATATGTTATCTTGAATTATTGAATTATTTATTAGTTATTATATTTAGAAAAATAAGCAGAGAGTCATTTTAAAATTTATATTTTCAGATATACTTGCGGTTGCAATTGATTTGATGCCTAAACGAATGACTTTATCCAAAGATGGCAACCAAACATGGGTACAGGATGTATTGCTTCTGGACAAAAATTTCAAAACAATGATACTTACACTTTAGGATTCCTTTGTTGATAGAGAATGTGTAGTAATAGCGAAGAATATTGAGAAAAAACCAATCATCTTTGCAACACATCTCAGAGTTACGTCTTTCTTTGGTATGTGTTATGTGTTTCGTTGCTGGTATGTTTTACATTATATCATATTAGCATATAATATAGCATATATATGTGATAGTTTGCACATGTATGCAGGTTTGAAATTGTCCACAAAAGTCCGTACTACTTTCTTCATAAATACACCTTTCATCTAAGTAAAAGAGATGACAGAATGGTATGTAGAATAAATTGATTTTATTTTATTGTTCTTTTTTTATATTCCCGCATCTCTAGTCACTATCACCACTATCCACGTTTACTAATTTTGTTCTAAATGTCTTGAGTTTATTTCACCTTATTTACTACATTTACTAGGGTAAAAAAAAAATTCAATGAAAAATAGATGATTTTGTATTGAAAAAACCCATACATGGAAAAAAGCCCCAAAAATATTTCTCCACCTATGCGAAGTAAATTCACTCCTATTCAAAATCTTCAAGGACGTCTCTTAGCGGTAATGGTATTTATGACAAGTTTTATATACATATAAAAAATTGCACATACATATTCCTTATTTCAACTCTGTTTTGACACATCAGAAGTTTTATTGGGTAAATGGCACAGCAATTACAGACAAAATTGACAACAAATCTTGGTACATGACTTGCAATAACTGTTATAGACAATCAAATGTTGATTTTGGAGAAACTTATCTTTGTATTTTTTGCAAGAATCCAAACTCTAAAACTATTCCTCTGTATATTATACTTTATTATATAGATATACATAACTTTAATTGTCTTGTTCATTTGTGAGTGTATACCAAATACATTTTAGGGCTCGAGCATATGTGCAGTTATCAAATGTCACTGGCTCGCTTAATACAAGTGCAATTGGTGACGCAGCCGAGAAGCTCTTATTTACAAGTGCACAATCTTTGTTGGAGCAAACCAATTCTATAATAATTTTAATATAACTTCAACATTTTGCAGCGCTAAAACATGTTGCTCAAACAATATTAATTGATGAATCAACATTAACATACATAATTCACAAAAAGCATACTTTGAAGATGTCGTCAAGAAAATGCAGAATACTCAAAGAACATTCTATCTAGTCTTGACTTTTGTTTACTTCGTTAGTATAATTTTATTTTAAAATTGTCAAGCACATTCTCGTTGACAAATGATGTATGTTGGCTAATACTTACATAATTTATGCTTCAACTCTATTGTATGGTTGGACAGCAAAATAGGTAATTTCACAAATGTGAACCAAGGCTTCTAGAGCATTTCTATTTTCTATCTTTCATTTACTTTCGATTAATCCCGAATTCAAAAAAATTTCAAAGACTAAAATATGAAATTTTCAGTTTTCCTAACAACAAAAATAAGAGTTTAATGACAATTCATCGACCAAATATATGTCTACATCCACAAAATACTAATCAAAGAACAGAATTCTTCACCATATAATTATTCTTATTATTCTTTATATATATATGTGTGTGTGTGTGTGTGTGTGTGTGTGTGTGAATTAAAAAAAAAGAAAGAAAAATAATTTCAAATTGATAAAAATTTACTTATTACATAACAATCCTTCTCAACATTGAGGATATGTATTTAAATTATCCTTTACATCTCAATTAAAATTACAATCACGATGTACGGGGATTTAAAAAATATTCATTGTAACAAACGTCAGCCACAATTTTCCATATATATATCCTCATTCTCTCCAAATCAACTGTCTCTAATGGATATTTTAGAAGAAAGCATTCTATGTATTTGAGGAGAAAAAGTCTACATTTTAACCTACATACAATTTTTTTTTCATTAGACTAAACTAATAATGAATATAGAAATCGAAATTAAAAGAAAAATTCAATATAGTAGTAAATAATAAATAATTTAAATGCCTTAAATACTTACCCATTATTTGCGCAAGGCAAGTAAGATATAATCTTCAATTTAAGCTGCCTGTTTATGTGCTTTCTTAAATCATGTCTGCTGAAACAAAATTTAAAATTCGTCAATAATATTTGAAATATTTCATATTCTATATGTACTTGTTCCCTGATTTCTGTTGGTGTGTGGACATCATTACTGCAATCATATATCTAAAATTTCCACTGACGAAAATTAACAACAAAAAGATAACAATTATAATCGCCTAGATACGAACATGGAATTAATAAATAATTGTATGCTATCCATGGACGACCGTGCTCAGGCAAATTGCCACTTATGTAATTTTTTAATACAGTGAAATCCATCTGACGATGATCTGCACTAGAACTTCCTTATTTTAAAGTTCTTTGCCACATCAATTGGTGATCGCATTCAGCTTCAAAATTGAAATCCAAAATTTCATGTTGTTTAGAGAGGAGAGTACAACCTTCTTTAATCAATCGCCTCAATAACTTTAACTCCATCTCTATAGTCTAATACAAGAAATCGATATAAATTCTATGTCAAATGTAAATTGTAATTAATTATCATTTGTGAGCTTCACTAACCGCAATGTTGATATCTTTGCCTTCAAGTATATTATATAGTGTGTCTCTTTCATACATATTGCCTCCAAGATCCCAATATATACTGTAGATCATAGTTTATATCAGTGTGAAATAAATACAATATAAATAATAAGTTAGGGTTAGGCTTTTTACCCTGATTTATTCACCACCACGCATTGATGAACTGATAAATACCCCTCCATAGAATAGTCTTCAAGAGGAACACCTGAAGATTTTATCTTCCTATTATACATCTCTTCTGTGGACATTTCAGTTTGAGGAGTTTGTTCAGATGTTACTTTCTTGCCACGAATTTTACTGTTGGAGCCAGAAATATCTTCATGTAAATAACCAACAATAGCTTTCATATCACCCATTCTATTCAGCATGTTGTTGTTCCGTACTTCAAAGTAAGATCTCATCAAATTAGACTGTTGTCCACATAAGATTGCATGCGAAATTGCATTTCCTGATGGTGATCTTCCTGCCATTTTTATTGTTGCTGAAAAAATTCTTTTTGATTCTCAACAATTGCTTGATAATTACTTTCTTATCTTCTTGATTGTTCAGCCATCTGTCGACCAAAAAAATCCTGGCAGAAAGCTCGACTATCCGTATATGCAAATTGCACACCAGATTGATAAGTAGAGTGCAGTTGTTGATATTGATGCTCATGCAATTTTTGTTGTTCTTCAGACATTCCCTTCTGATTTTCAAGATATGCATCCCGTTGTTTTCTTGATTTTTTCACCACGTGTGCCTTCAAGTCATCATACAGACCAGATACTTATTGTCTATGTGTAGTGAACATTTCTTCCATTTGTTCTTTTGTGACATAATTACAGTAAAAAACAGAAGTATAATTAGGCTTCACTCCAATTGAAGGGTGTGTTCTGGAAGTACCAGCATCAACAGTATTAATTGTTTGCATGCTAAGTGGAATTTGTGGTACAATGTTGCCAAACTCAATGTCGTCTAATATAGCATGTTTATTGTCCAATGGTAACAATAGAGTTGTGTACCACAATGTCTGTAATTCTTCTTCTGTTGGTTACAATACTACAAGGACTCGAATCTATAAACGTAATAAAATATTAGAATTCTATACTATAGTATAGTAGAATAATTACATGTATAAATTTTCATATAATTACCATACATCATGTGTAGACAAATATTGTTTTACAATTTTGTCTGTCAATATTTGCCTCGACTTCTATTTGTTCATTCTTATAATTTATAATGTCTTGTATCTCCTTCGTCCAAATTTCTTTCCAATATTGGAAAAATGCTTCATATATCCAAAATTGCAAAATGAAATTGAAGGTAAATATTAAATATATACAAAATTAAACTAAAC